TTTTTTGAACACAATGTTGAAAACTATAGTGATGCATATATTTTTTAAGGATAACGTAATCAATTAAATTTTTTTATAGATACTGATATTTATACATAGTGAATAGAGAATTAAAAGAGATGTTAGAGGTAATTTAAAAATTTAAACACATAAACATATGATTGTAATTTAGATATTTAACTATAGAAGGATAATGTGGTATTTAAAATTCTTTATATGAGTAAAATAGTGAATTAAAAGTTTTAAATTTTAAGGTACTTTATTGGTAATATACATTATTAGCAGTATGGATAGAAAAAAAAATACATATATAGACATAATGTTATTTTTTTATTTGAAAAGAGTAATGATCTATTGATAGATTTTTTGAATACGTTATTAAAAACTATGATGATGAATATATTTTTTTAAGGATTGCATAGCGAATTAAAATTTTTAATAAATATTGATATTTAAATAAAGATAATAGAGAATAAAAAAAATGTTGGAAGATAGTTTAAAGATTTAAATATATAAGATTGTAATAGTAATTTAGATATTTAACTATGAAAAAATAATGTAGTATTTAAAATTTTTTATAAGGGTAAAATAGTGAATCAAAAGTTTTTCACTTATGGTATTTTTATTAGTAGTACAAATATGGATAAGTGAGATCCATATATTTGTTAAAATAACATAATTATTCATAATTTTTTAAAAAAAAATTATTGGGGAAAAATCTCTAATAAATTCTAAAAATTATACTTACTATCCAATTTTTTTTAATATTCCAGTGGGTCCGCCATTGTCTACTTTTGGAATTGGATCGAACATCGAATTGGTAGAGGGAACAGCTCATTGGTTCATTTGGACCCAAAAAAAAAATGATTCACTTAGATCAACTGATCGAATCGTTTGCATAATAAAAAATTTAAAAATAATAAACAATTTAAGTGTTAATTGTAAATATTTTGGTTTTCATATAAATTTAAGTATTGAATTAAATTAAGTTAGCTGAACTAAGAAATTAAATAAGTGTTCAATTTTATCATTCAACTATTTACTTTGAAAATATTTGTTAAATATTCATCTATCTAATAGAAAATCGTAGCATACCGCTAAAATATAAACAAATAAATAATTAACCAAATATAAAGAAAAAATAAAAGAATGATAAATTGAACAAATATGTTGATTGTGTGTGTGTGTGTGTGTGTGTGAATATGTGTGCGCTAATATGCTTGTGTGTTAGTTTGTGTTTTGCGTGTGTGCTGCAGCAGGAGGAAGAACTTAGGTGATGCAGTTTGGACTTTTTTGGCAGAGGCGATGAACGAGCAGAGATGAAGAAGAATAGTGTGAAACTGGTAGGGCAAATTTGTCAAATAAAAAAATATTAAATATTGAGTGCTTTTGGCCCTAGAATTAAGCAGGTACTGACTTAAAATTTTGTCTTGCATTTAGGAGACATTTGTCTTATTAACGAGTTCTATTATTGTATTATCTTACCAACTTTAAAAAGTAAAGTAAGGGAGGAGCAAAGAAAAAGAAAAAAGGAGCTTTAAAAATGATTCATAAAACTTTAAATTATCTTAATTGGTCCCTCAATTATCAGACGGATCACGCGTATGTTATGTAGTTATTCACGTGTTATATTATGTGTTACTGCTTGTTCTAAAAACTAACATTGACGAATTAATTAGGATGAGTAATGTTATATGCACTTAAAAAATAGAATTCCAATAAATACTGAGTCTCACGTTAAAATTAATGATTATAATTATCAAATTTATTTTTTAAATCATAGCTCAATTATGATATTTCTTCGTACCCATTCTCTCTTGTGAGCCTCAGCCTGCCCCCCTAAGGTGATAGCTACAACGACGAGATGGACGGTTCTGATACCCCAAGTATAATTGAAATAAGATTCTCTCCTATCAAAATAATTAGCATGTTTCACGTAGCAATATGCCATTCAGGCTAGGAAAATTAGGTCCAAATGCCAACAACTAATTATATAAAATATTGTGATAGGTGGTTTACTTAGACTACTGGGATTCTAGGTTTTTTTAATCCCAAGTGTTTGCTAAAAAAACATTAGTTTGAATTGAAAACAAACAAATAATTCTCACGATTAGGAAAACATTAAGGTACCAATGGTTGTAGTATTACCTGCAATCATTTAATTTGTAGTGTTATAACGTCACCAAAATTCACAGTTTTTGCCTTCATTTCAAGGGGTGTGTGTGTGTGTCTATATACATATACAGTATATAAGCTCGATGATCAAGTTCATGGCTTCCCTAAGGCACCATATACAAGCCTGATGTGTTTTCCTCCTTACTTACAGTAAAGAGTTTTTGAAGTCGGAATTGCAAATGGCTGAAAGTATACGGACCATCTTCTGTGGGGACTCTGAGTGTTCAAATGGAGTCAGAGTCAATTGTAGTTCTATTTTATCTGCCATTGATGATCCATATTCATGTACCAACCATGTTTTGATCATTTCTGCTGAAACACTCCTCCTGCTCGTCTTCCTATTTATTGTTTTATACAAGTCATCGACCAAAGTTGGAGCCTCACCACCCTCTAAATGCAACTCATCGCTATCAATTTCTTCTGTGGTTTTCAATGGCGCTTTGGGTTTGGCTTACCTGGGCATGGGGCTCTGGATAATTTCAGAGAGATTGAGTTCCAAACAGAGCATAACCCCTCTGCATGATTGGCTGGTCATGGTATTCCAGGGACTCACATGGTTCCTGATGGGCTCAACAGTGAGTTTTAAAAGGGGACAACATCCACATAGTATAATGGTGAAGAGTTCTTCAATCCTCACCATCTTTTTTGCAGCATTTCTATGCATCCCATCTGTTTCGAAAGCTATTCAGGACAAAGAAGCATCTGTAAAGATTGTGTTAGACATTTTGTCATTTCCGGGAGCAATTCTACTTGTCTTATCTGCTTTTGGGGAACCTAACTACGAAGAAACTGAAGCAGGAACCAAAAGAAATGCGCTCTATGCACCTTTGCTAGGCAAAGAAGCGGATAATGGTGAGGAAATTAGTATGGTTGAGAATGTAACTCCTTTTGCTGAAGCTGAATTCCTGAATAAACTATCATTTTGGTGGTTGAATGCACTAATGAAGAAGGGTAAACAGAAAACTCTTGAGAACAAAGATATTCCAAAGTTAAGGCTGGAAGATCGAGCAGAAACATGTTATTTGAAGTTTATGGAGCAATTGAGCATACATAAAAGGAAAAGATCTTCTGATTCATCCTCTATTTCATCTACAATATTTCTGTGGCAGTGGAAAGCTATTTTGACATCAGGCCTCTTTGCTCTGATCAAAGTACTCACCCTGGCTATAGGCCCCTTGCTTCTTAGAGCTTTCATTAGGGTTGCTCAAGGCAATGAGGCTTTTAAATATGAGGGTTATGCTCTAACCGGGGGGCTCTTCCTTGCAAAATGCTTTGAATCAATATCAGAGAGGCAATGGTATTTCCAAACTCGACTTATTGGTCTCCAAGTAAGGTCTTGCCTGTCTGCAGCTATTTACAAGAAGCAGCTAAGGCTATCAAGTGCCGCTAAGACAACTCATTCTCCTGGAGAAATAATGAATTATGTGACTGTGGATGCCAATAAAATAGGTGAATTCCCATATTGGCTACATCAAATCTGGACAACAAGCCTTCAGATATGTCTTGCATTGGTTGTTATTTACTATTCTGTGGGTTTAGCATCTGTTGCAGCCCTATTAGTGGTAATACTAACTGTAGTAGGAAATACTCCGGTGGCCAAATTACAGTACAAGTACCTGAAAAAGCTTATGGTGGCTCAAGACAGCAGGCTGAAGGCCATTACAGAGGCTCTTACAAGCATGAAAGTTTTGAAGTTNTGAGTACCTGAAAAAGCTTAAGGTGGCTCAAGACAGCAGGCTGAAGGCCATTACAGAGGCTCTTACATGCATGAAAGTTTTGAAGTTGTATGCCTGGGAGACACATTTCAGAAATGTTATAGAAGTGCTTAGGAAAGAAGAATATAAATGGTTATCGGCAGTTCTCTCACAGAGAGGCTACTATCTGGTTCTGTTTTGGTCGTCTTCCTTCATTGTGTCGGCTATTACTTTCTGGGCATGCTACTTCCTTGGAATCCCTATGAATGCTAGTAACCTTTTCACGTTTCTTGCAGCTTTACGTATTGTTCAGGAGCCTATCAGGTTGCTACCTGATGTTGGGGGAATGTTCATTGAAGCAAAGGTTTCGTTAACTCGGATTGAGAAGTTTCTTGAGGCACCTGAATTGCGGAATAGACATATCCAGGAGAAGTGCTTTGGAGAGGAACTTGGGAAGTCTATAGTGCTTAATTCCACAAGTATTTCATGGGATTCTAACAAGTCAAAGGCTGCCCTAACTAACATAGATTTGGTTGTCAAACCTGGTCAAAAGGTAGCCATATGTGGAGAGGTTGGGTCAGGAAAGTCAACCCTTCTGGCTGCAATTCTTGGAGAGGTTTCAAACATCAATGGCATAGTAAGTCTTCCCTATTATGCTTCTGATCTTCAATTTTAAATCGTGGATTTCAATACACTTTGTACTCAACTTTGACGACTGGTCTGTTCTAAAGCTAAGAAATTAAAAATGGGGCATAAATGTTACGTTGTTTGAACCTGTGATCTGTGTGTATGAATGATTTTCTTGCAAATGCCCATAACTATTTGTCAATCCAGGGAAAGAAAAGTAGTGTATAAAGCCTGAAAATTGGTAAAAATTCAGTCCAAGTTTTATTCTGCTTCATTTTCCAGGTTCAAGTTTATGGAAGGGTAGCTTATGTTCCTCAGTTAGCATGGATCCAAACAGGCACCATACAAGACAATATACTGTTTGGGTCCACCATGGATCAACATAAGTACCAAGAAGTACTTGAAAAGTGTTCACTAGTAAAGGACCTCGAAATGCTTCCATTTGGTGATCACACTATAATTGGAGAAAGAGGTGTTAATCTCAGCGGTGGGCAGAAGCAGCGAGTTCAACTTGCACGGGCACTATATCAAGATGCAGATGTGTATCTCTTGGATGATCCGTTCAGTGCTGTAGATGCACAAACTGCTGGCAGTTTGTTTAATGTAATCGTAATTCCTATCTAACTACAATTTGTGCATCTTATGAAACTGCCTTCTAACTGAAAGATACTATAATTTTGGCCAGGAATATATCATGGGAGCTCTGTCAGGGAAGACGGTCTTACTTGTGACCCACCAAGTCGACTTTCTTCCTGCTTTTGGTTCGGTTTTGGTTAGTGATCTTACTATGCTTATCAGTATCCTTTTTCAGAATGATTTTTCCTTAAAAATCCCACTTTTTTATGTAGTAAGTTAGCCTATATTGTGTGTAAAGAACTGTCCCGGTAAATTTTGTTTGTTGACAGTTGATGTCAGACGAAAAAATCCTCAAGGCGGCTACCTATGATCAGTTGCTGGCTTCTAGTCATGAATTTCAAAATCTTATCATTGCACATAATGACACTGTTGGTTCTCAGGGAGAGACCGAGTATGGATTGCAACAAAGGCCAAAAACCTCTGAAGAAGAGATTCAAAAATTACATGCTGAGGAGCAGATAGGAGCATCTTTAGGAGACCAGTTGATTAAGCAAGAAGAGNGCCAAAAACCTCTGAAGAAGAGATTCAAAAATTACATGCTGAGGAGCAGATAGGAGCATCTTTAGGAGACCAGTTGATTAAGCAAGAAGAGAGAGAAATAGGAGACACTGGTCTAAAACCTTATACACAGTATCTGAATCAGAGCAAAGGTTTCTTATATTTCTCCCTGGCTGTTATATGCCAGATCATATATATAGTAGGGCAGTTGGTTCAAAATCTTTGGTTGGCGGCTGTTGTACAAGATTCTAGTACAAGTATGCTGAGCCTGATTTTAATATACACGTTGATCGGCTGTGGCATGTCACTCTTCTTGATCCTTAGATCTTATTATGTGGTTATTTTAGGTCTTAGGACATCAAAATCTACGTTTTCGAAGTTAATGATCTCTCTTTTTCGAGCACCAGTGTCCTTTTATGACTCAACACCTCTGGGTAGGATAATCAGTCGGGTAAGAATATTTCATGGATGTCAAAATCATGCTTCAACGCATTTCATGGGACTCATATTTCTGCTATCTTATGCAGGTATCTTCTGATCTGAGTATTGTGGACCTTGAATTGGCATTCAAATTCAGTATTTCTCTAGGGACAACAATGAACACGTATTTTAGCTTTGGAATATTGGCTGTTATTACATGGCCAATCTTATTTGTCATTGCACCAATGATTTATGCAACCATTATCTTACAGGTAATGCAATAATTCAACTGATTCTCTAAGAAAGCTGAATTAAAAAGAAATCCATATTCCCCATCTCCTATTTTTTTTTTTGTTGCTGTTGTCTTCATCTCCTGTTAATTGTATGTTATTTGTGTGTGTTTTTGTGCGTGCGTTTTCCTTCCACATGACTTCTTGTTGTTCTCTACCCTTTCTAACAAATCGGGTGGTTTATCTGTTATAACAAACAGAAATTTTACTTTGCTTCTGCAAAAGAGTTGATGCGAATTGATGGCACAACAAGGTCTTCAGTTGCAAGCCATCTAGCTGAATCCATGGCGGGAGCAACGACCATCAGAGCTTTTGGAGAGGAAAATCGATTCTCCACCGAGCATTTGCACCTTATCGATGCAAATGCTAGTTCATTTTTCCACAATGTTTCAGCAAATGAGTGGTTGATTCAGCGTCTAGAAGTACTATGTGCAATTGNCCACAGAGCATTTGCACCTTATCGATGCAAATGCTAGTTCATTTTTCCACAATGTTTCAGCAAATGAGTGGTTGATTCAGCGTCTGGAAGTACTATGTGCAATCGTTCTCTCATCCTCAGCCCTTGCCATGACTCTGCTTCCTTTTCAAGCTTCTGACTCAGGTTACTGATCTCTATCTTCACCTGTAAAAAAATCTCTCATATTGTCTTTCAGCTCAGTTAGTTTTATTGTTAAAAGATACATTCATCATTTCAATAATTTCCTAGTAAACTTTTGGGTCATCAATGTTGTGATGGCAGGATTAATTGGAATGGCTCTGTCATATGGGCTTTCATTGAATGTGTTCGTCGTTAATTCTGTCCAAAGCCAGTGCATGCTATCAAATTTGATTGTTTCTGTGGAAAGGTTAGAACAATACATGCATATTCCCAGTGAAGCTCCTGAAACCATAGAAGGCCACAGGCCATCGCTCAACTGGCCAACTATTGGTAGGGTGGAGANACAATACATGCATATTCCGAGTGAAGCTCCTGAAACCATAGAAGGCCACAGGCCATCGCTCAACTGGCCAACTATTGGTAGGGTGGAGATCCATGATTTGAAGGTAAATAGAACGTCACATAACAATTTTCTTCTATCTATTTTGCAAGTTCCAGACTTATGGATATCGATGTGCCAACAAATTACATAAAACAGGTCAAATATCGACCTAATGCTCCTCTAGTTCTTTGCGGAATCAGCTGCATTTTTGAAGGTGGGCACAAAATTGGAATTGTTGGCCGGACTGGCAGTGGGAAGACAACTCTGATTAGTGCCTTGTTTCGTCTGGTAGAGCCTACAGATGGAAAGATCATAATCGATGACATAAATATATCTACAATCGGTCTCCATGACCTTAGATCACACTTTGGGATCATTCCACAAGATCCAACCCTTTTTAGTGGATCTATAAGATACAATATGGACCCCTTATCCGAACATACCGATCATGAAATATGGGAGGTAAGGTTTTTGTTTGTAACATTAGAGAAAAAAAATAAACCTATAATTTATCAGCTAAAGCTTACTATAATTTCTGCCAATGAAAGGTTCTCGAAAAATGTCAGCTACGAGAAGCTGTTCAAGGGAAAGAGGAGGGCTTGAACTCCTTAGGTAAGTAGGATTGTGTATAGAAGTGCAAGTCTTTAGAAATCATGTTCAAATAAAATTGAAAATGCGATATTGTAGTGGTACAAGATGGATCAAATTGGAGCATGGGACAGCGACAATTATTTTGCCTGGGTCGAGCATTGTTGAAGAGGAGGAAGATATTAGTGCTGGATGAAGCTACCGCATCAATTGACAATGCAACAGATTCAATCATCCAAAAAACTATAAGGACAGAATTTGCAGACTGCACTGTAATCACAGTTGCTCACAGAATACCAACCGTTATAGACTACACTATGGTTCTTGCTATTAGCGATGGTGAGATCTCTATTCGAAAGGTTGTGTTAAGAAAGAAAAACGAAAAAAGTAGTGTTATCTTTGAAAAAGCTTGTATAACATAGGTAGAGTTTTTTTTTTTGGCATTAACAGGAAGATTAGTAGAGTATGACAAGCCAATGAAGCTACTGAATAAGGAGGGCTCACTATTTGGGCAACTTGTGAAGGAGTACTGGTCTCATTCCAGAAATGCCAGCGGGCTCTCAGAAGATTGGTAGTGAGGTTACTTTTTGAATTACCACGAAAGTGCCTTCATGCCTTGAATTGTTATTAGACATTAGTTTTCCCAATTATTTCTTGGACGGAACAAAAAAGAAATGTTCAGTACTATTTTTTTCGTTCTTATATATCTGTCGTTTTATCTAATTTTTTTGTTTCATAATATCTATNCGAACATACCGATCATGAAATATGGGAGGTAAGGTTTTTGTTTGTAACATTAGAGAAAAAAAATAAACCTATAATTTATCAGCTAAAGCTTACTATAATCTCTGCCAATAAAAGATTCTCGAAAAATGTCAGCTACAAGAAGCTGTTCAAGAGAAAGAGGAGGGCTTGAACTCTTTAGGTAAGTAGGATTGTGTATAGAAGTGCAAGTCTTTAGAAATCATGTTCAAATAAAACTGAAAATGCGATATTGTAGTGGTACAAGATGGATCAAATTGGAGCATGGGACAACGACAATTATTTTGCCTGGGTCGAGCATTGTTGAAGAGGAGGAAGATATTAGTGCTGGATGAAGCTACCGCATCAATTGACAATGCAACAGATTCAATCATCCAAAAAACTATAAGGACAGAATTTGCAGACTGCACTGTAATCACAGTTGCTCACAGAATACCAACCGTTATAGACTACACTATGGTTCTTGCTATTAGCGATGGTGAGATCTATATTCGAAAGGTTGTGTTAAGAAAGAAAAACGAAAAAAGTAGTGTTATCTTTGAAAAAGCCTGTATAACATAGGTAGAGTTTTTTTTTTTGGCATTAACAGGAAGATTAGTAGAGTATGACAAGCCAATGAAGCTACTGAATAAGGAGGGCTCACTATTTGGGCAACTTGTGAAGGAGTACTGGTCTCATTCCAGAAATGCCAGCGGGCTCTCAGAAGATTGGTAGTGAGGTTACTTTTTGAATTACCACGAAAGTGCCTTCATGCCTTGAATTGTTATTAGACATTAGTTTTCCCAATTATTTCTTGGACGGAACAAAAAAGAAATGTTCAGTACTATTTTTTTCGTTCTTATATATCTGTCGTTTTATCTAATTTTTTTGTTTCATAATATCTATCTTTTTATGAAACCAAAACATAATTAATATTTTTTCTTCCAAATTTATTCTTATCTCTGTTTTCCAATAAGTGTTTAATAGATTAAGTGTTTCATATTCTTTTTCTTCCCAATACGTATTGAATAAGGATATTTTAGTTTTGTGCAGTTATTTTTTACTCATACTAGAGCTATTTAATAAATTCCTTAATTCTTGTATAAAAACCTTAAGCGATAGATATTTAGGAACAGAGAAAATACTTGTTTTTAGGGGTGCAACTTGAGCGGACCAACCAAAATTCAACCCGAGCCCAATCTAAAAAATAAAATAAGGATTGAGTTAGAATTTTTATTACTTGGATTGGACTTGGGTTAAAAAACTCTAACCTAAATTGAATCAAGACTCAGGTTGAGGCTTCAGGTTGTCGGATTTAACTTGAATATTAAAATCGGGTTGAACTCGAATATACATAAATATATAAATAAATTTAATTAGGGTTAGTATTTATTTTCACTCTTTAGAGTCCAGACTTTCACTTCGTGTCTCTTCACCCCTGCATCTCCATCACTCTCAGATCCCTCTTTCACTCGTCACTCCCCCCTCTCTCAGCCTCCCTCTCTCAATCGTCACTCGTATAATGTCTCAACCTCGCTCTCTTACTCGTAACTCCTCTTTTTCTCATTCTCTCTCTCTTCATTTGTGTCTCACCCTTCATCTTATATCACTTAACAAAATCAGATTTACACTTAAAAAATTAAATTTACACTTCAAAAAATCAACTCGAATTAAGTAATACAAGTTCAACCCGAAATCAGTTAGAATTAAGTAACTCGAATTCAACCCGAGCCCGCCTAAATTAAAATCGGGCAATACTTGGATTGAGTACCTCGAGTTGAAGTAGAGTTAGGGTTGAAGATTATATACTTAGGGTTGGACTAGAGTTGACCTCTTAACTCGCTCAGCTCGCCTAAATTGCACCCCTACTTGTTTTTCACCATAAGTATTTATTTGTTATGAAATTATCATAATAAAACATTTATAATAAGATCTCATCAACTTATATCTATACTAATAACACATGGGTGTTTTTGGTTTCATGAAGACTCTAGTGTGGCATGGTTTGGAATGTGTCGTTTTGTTCTTTGCTTTGTACGTACCAAAAGAATAGTTTTAGGGCCAGAGAGGTCTACCCCAGATTGATGACATGTTAAACAACGTGTACACATTATGAAATATGAATACCACCTATGTGAATCATAATTCTTTTTATTTTTTGGTGAGATGTGAATCAGAATTCAATTTGAGTCAAGTTCATATCAAAATTTGATATAATTAACAAATTCAACTGAACTTTGAAATGAAAGAGGATTTCATATCGTTTCAGATTTTAAACAATGCGGATGGGCAAGCAATGCTGGGATTCCACACAAGCTCAACCCCTAAAGTGGAGCACTTTTGGTGGAAGGCCTGTTCGAATGACCTAGCAACTCAAGAAAATCTGTTCAAACATCAATGTTCACCCTCCTCTCTATGCAGTATTTGTCAAACTGAAGTTAAAACAGTGGAACACTTAATTTTCTCTTGTCAGTGGACCAAGAGAGTGTGGTTTGGGAATTCGGATCAGCAATGCACCAATTCACCCAGTTAAACATTAGACATCTACAATCATAGAGCACTTGAGCAGACATCATCATGCAACAGAGGTTCTGGGAAATATTGCTACAGTCGGATGGACCATTTGGAAAATATGGAATGAGACCATCTTCGCACATGTTACGGTTGGTCACATCACATGTTTTTGTTTGAAAGTGTTTGGTGGGCATATTAGGTAATTTAAAATGCAGACTGATTGAGTTGGACCCACGTAAAATAGAATAGACCTAGCCTTTTACACCAAATGTTATAATACTAAATAAAATTTTCGGGAACAAATAATTATATTAGGAATGGTGGTTACAGATTCATAAACCTGTGAAATATATTGGCTGTATTTTTTATGAATAAACACAGACCACTCTCCATCACTCTCTTACTCTCTCTGTAAATCTTTTCTCCNTTACAGATTCATAAACCTGTGAAATATATTGGCTGTATTTTTTATGAATAAACACACACCACTCTCCATCACTCTCTGTAAATCTTTTCTCCTTCATCCCACACCACATTTCTCCACAACTATTTGTTTCTCTCTCTCTCTCTCTCTCCACATCGCCGGTGCAGTTAGGTGGAGACCTGGACACACCCAGGTTAATGTGGGTGGAACCAGGAAGAGGTAAGTAATCCTCTTTCTTTCTCTAAAATGAGAAATTCTGTAAGGACAAACTCTGGTCATGAATTAACAAAAATGATTCAATGTGTGTAGTATTTTTTTTTATTATTTTAAAGGTTGATTGAAGGAGTTTTGTATTTGCCATTATACTATTTTTAAACCTTATTTTATAATAAGAAGTTAGTTTTGGGATGATTATGAGAATGAGTTGATGAATTTTTGTTCTCTATTATTTGAAACTGAGATCCATACATTTAGCTTACAACAACAAAATTTTTCTCTCTATAGAAGGATCCATGACAATTTGCCGTCAAACAATGCAATTTCAAAAACTGTACCATAAGTTTGTATAAAATTCTAATGTTTGATGGGTCCTACAGTCAATTAAATGTTATAATGAATTAGATCAACAAATTATATCTATAACTTAAGTCCCAATAACATTGCTCGTATATCAATCATACATTAAACTGAAACACTACGATATCGTTACAAATTCCCAACATCTATATTTGACTAATTAATGCCAAATTTTGCAGTAATTTTCTTTTAATTTTTACAATTTGATCTTGTTGCGAAGTTTAATTGTGATTATCCTCTATCTTATTGAAAATTTGATTATTTGAAGAAAAAACACTTGTGGGTTTAGCATATTGTATGCCTTGCATGTAATCGTGTTTTATTGCTTACGAACCACTATACGAGTTTTTATGATAAATAAGAGAGTGTATTAAATAACAACACTATTATCTTTGAAAAATACTATGTAACTCAAATTTATAACTTAAATTTACATCCCAAATGAAAGGAGAATATTGGATGAGTGGATCTCATCAACTTTTTTATTGATCCAACCGTCGTTAATGATTTGAGATGCACGTTTAGAATATATATATAGCATTGCTCGTTATCTTTTGTCAATATATATTATGGTTAGGACATTCCAAAGCTGAGTCCAACAACATAATATTTGTTTTACTAGTTAAGAACGTGATACTTACTGAAAATAAAAGTGAGAAGGACAAATATTCCAATTTTAAAGACTTGAGGGGGGTAAAAATTCCATTTGAGAAAGGTCAAAGCAAATAGGTGAAGAAGCTCAACGCCTCAATCTAAATGCCAAGTTGCTTCATCAAAACAACAGCTCCATCGAATTAACTCTCCAACTTTTAACTTGAAATTAATTGGACCCAAACTTATATCAAATAAAAAAACAAAGAGTCTTTCCTATCAACGATCTGGGTCTGCTGGAAAAGGGTGTTCCCCAGATTCTTGGTTGAACTCTTTTGAATTCGTTATGCCTTTCATAAGTCATGCTCAATGACAATTAAGGAAATATTCAGGCAATTTAAGCTTCCAAGTGCATAAATTTTTGGAGGGAAAGAATTAGAGAAAAGAGTGTAGGAAAAAATTTTAAGAAATGAACTATTGGGACAACATATGAAATTTTAAAATAGATTTGCGCATCAAGCACCATATACAAGCCTGATGTGCTTTCCTCTTCACTGACAGCAAACAGTTTTTGAAGTCCGAATCGCAGAATGGCTGAAAGTGTCTGGAACATCTTCTGTGGGGGCTCTGAGTGTTCAAATGGAGACAGAGACAATTGTAGTTCTATCTTATCTGCCATTGTGGATCCATATTCATGCGTCAACCATGTTTTGATCATTTCTGCTGATACCCTCCTCCTGCTCATCTTCCTATTTATTGTTTTATACAATTCATCAACCCAATTTGGAGCCCCCCCACCCTCTAAATGCTATTCATCATTGTCAATTTCTTCTGCGGTTTTCAATGGCGCTTTGGGTTTGGCTTACCTGGGTATGGGCCTCTGGATAATTTCAGAGAGGTTGAGTTCCAAACAGAGCATAACTCCTCTGCATGGTTGGCTGGTCATAGTATTCCAGGGACTCGCATGGTTCCTGATGGACTCAACAATTAGTTTTAAAAGGAGACAACATCCACGTACTATCATAGTGAAGCTTTCTTCAATCCTTGCCTTCTTTTTTGCAGCATTTCTATGCATCCCATCTATTTTGAAAGCTATTCAGGACAAAGAAGCATCTATAAAGATTGTGTTGGACATTTTGTCATTTCCGGGAGCAATTCTACTAGTCTTGTCTGCTTTTGGGGAACCAAATTATGCAGAAACTGAAGGAGGCACCAAAAGAAATGCGCTCTATGCACCTTTGCAAAGCAAAGAAGACGATAATGGTGAGGAAATTAGTCTGGATGAGAATATAACTCCTTTTGCTGAAGCTGGATTCCTGAATAAACTATCATTTTGGTGGTTGAATGCACAAATGAAGAAGGGTAAACAGAAAACTCTTGAGAACAAAGATACACCAAAGTTAAGGCTGGAAGATCGAACAGAAACATGTTATTTCAAGTTTTTGGAGCAATTGAGCATACAGAAAAGGAAAAAATCTTCTGATTCATCCTCTATTTCATCTACAATATTTGTGTGGCATTGGAAAGCTATTTTGACATCAGGCCTTTTTGCTCTGATCAAAGTACTCACCCTGGCTATCGGACCCTTGCTTCTTAGGGCTTTCATTAGGGTTGCTCAAGGCAATGAGGCTTTTAAATATGAGGGTTATGCTCTAACTGGGGGGCTCTTCCTTGCAAAATGCTTAGAATCAATATCAGAGAGGCAATGGTATTTCCAAACTCGACTTATTGATCTCCAAGTAAGGTCTTTCCTGTCTGCAGCTATTTACAAGAAGCAGCTAAGGCTATCAAGTGCCACTAAGACAACTCATGCTCCTGGAGAAATAATGAATTATGTGA